CCAAGTTCATCAAAATTTGTGAGGTATGTATATCATGTTTGTTTTAATAATGCCTTTAATAAGGCCAATGCCTTTTCTTTTTTTCAGGGGAGGGGGTCTACCCCAGGTAGACTGTAAAGTTCTTTGGAGTAACTGAAATAGTTTTAAGCTATTTAAACTGACATGGCCAAGACCTACATTTATTAAAGCATTATTGGTTTGATATATTTAAAACATTAAAGAACATTTACCATTAATTGTACTATAGATTATTCACATACCCTTATTCTAATGGAAACACGCCTCTGTTTAAAACTCATTCATTGTTAACCTACAAAGGCTTTGTAAATTTGTAATTTTGTGATTCATAGTAATTTCCTTGTTCTCTTATTAGCCAACTGATGAGGAAGAGGTGGTGAAGGGGATGAATGTTGGACTCTTGGTGGTCACAGAGGCGAACACTGCAAACCTCCTCCCAAAGGAAATAATCGATGTGGCTGTGGTGTTAGAGGAGGTGATTGTGCTTGATGGCTTAACGGACGTGTCAAATGCCTTTGCTATACTAATGGGGCTTCTTTATGCTCTGAACATCACTTACCCCAAGGAGGTCAAATATACATTTGAAGTACTCCAAAAAGTGGTGGCGAGGTATGTTCGGCCAGAGTTCATGGAGTAAGGAACAAACTGTTCAGTGTTTAGTGGAAGAGGATTTTACTCTCCCCTACTCACACTCACTGACATTCTGACATGTTTTTATTCGTCTGTTTTGAAAACAAAATCTCACAAATATAACTCTTTGCTAGCTCTGAAGTTGGATATCATTGAACACAATGATTTTCTCCTTTTCATTAATGTAAGTGTTTATTTTTTCTTCTTTCATTGCACTCGCTCATCCATTCACATTTCACTTCACATACACTCACTCATTGAATTACATATAAAAACAGTGTTTGCATTCAACCACTTTTTTTGGAGATTTTGAGTTCAAATGGAATATCCTTGTAACTGAACTGTTGTAAGCTTAATATTCATTATAAAATGTTATGAATTGGTGTAAGTCTTTAAAAATGTGGAATAGATGAAGAAAACTGTTTCGCTGGGTTGGTTCACCCAAAAATGAAAATTGTCATTACTCGCGCTCATGTCGTTCCAAACCTGTAAGATATTCATTCGTCTTTGGAACACAAATTAAGATATTTTAATGAAATCTGAGAGCTTTTTGTCCATCCATTGACAGCCTACACTTTCAAACCCCAGAAAGGTAATAAAGACATCATTGAAGAAATCCATGTGACTCCAGTGGATTAACCTCAAGTTTAGGAAGTGATGTGAGTGCTTTATTTGCACAAAAATAAAAATATTTACAAAATATGAATCTATCAATCTCCAACGCACGTTCAAAAATTTGTTGTGCAAACATTGGGGTTGGCCAATACCTTTTCTTTTTTTCAGGGGAGGGGGTCTACCCCAGGTAGACTGTAAAGTTCTTTGGAGTAACTGAAATAATTTTAAGCTATTTTAAACTGACGTGGCCAAGACCTACATTTATTAAAGCATTACTGGTTTAAAATAATTGAATCACAATAAGTGAATCACAAAGCACTCACATCGCTTCATAAACTTAATTTTAATCCACTGGAGTCACATGGATTACTTCAATGATGTCTTTATTACCTTTCTGGGGTTTGAAAGTGATAGTTGCATAGGGTGTCAATGGATGGACAAAAAGCTCTCAGATTTCATTAAAATATCTTAATTTGTGTTCCAAAGACGAATGAATATCTTACAGGTTTGGAATGACATGAGCGCGAGTAATGACAATTTTAATTTTTGGGTGAACTAACCCTTTTAATACTGTTTGAGAAATAAAATATTGTTTTGAGAAAATGATTTTCATGCGTCATGTTCATTAAATGGGTTTTTGTTTTTAATTCTATTGCACTTAATTCAAGCTGATTTTAATGTCATCACACTGACATTTGTTTATTCTCGCACATGCTTAACAGTTATAGCATTCTTGTATTGTTGCTTTAATGTGTTTTTATGTTTGTATTCAAGCAGCAGTTAATTATATCATACTAATGTATATTATAATACAATTATAATTTAATAAGTATAATTTATACTTGTCAGACAATTCAATTAATTCATATTTTTGTGAATGTTATAATAAATGTTAAAGTTATGGTTTATTTGTGCTGTTATTCCAGAATAATTTGTTTTAACAAAAAAGCTTTTGTTGTTTTAAGTTGTGTTGAAGTTGATTAAACTCATAATTTTAAGGCAACCGTGTAAACTTCTTAGTTCATTGTTACAACAAACTATATGTAGTTAAGATTAAGTTGAGTGAACTTAAAATTGTTTGTTCACATAATATTAAATTAAAGTCCCTGTAAAGGCAATTTAAAAAAAAAATTCTAAACACATTATAATTGTTAGAAATGTATTGCTAAAACATATTACAAAGACTGTGAACTGTGAAGTACTGAATTGTGGAGTTAGACCGTTAAACAGTTTTTCACCATTGATATTTTACGGATTTTCTGGGCGGGGCTAAAACAGGGCTCGATGACGCACTGGAGCCCTTGAGCTCCTGGACACGCCCCTACTTGATGACGCTCTGAGGCCACTGAGGCTGGCCGCTCCTAACAATATTATAGAGCACATTCACATCAGTTTGCCGCTCAATCGCGAGTTACTGTCAGTACTATTATTAGTAACACAGCCTACAGATTGCTAGCTACTAGCTATGCCTTCGTCACGGAAATGCGTACTACCTGGATGCGATCAGCGGATCAGTACAAAACAGATCGGTGTCCTTGTTTAAATTTCCGAAAAACGATTACATCAAGAAGAAGTGGATTAATTTTGTGAAGAGCCACCTTGATGGAGAGCTGAGGATCACCGCCAAAACCCGCCTCTGTAAGTGATCATTTTACACTGGATAGTTTTATAAACTTTCGTCGGAGATAACTTTCTTGGATTCACTGATAATCCGCTGTTACTGGTGAATGGGGCCGAACCGACTCCCGCCTCAGCCTTCATCCTCCCGTCGCGCCGTTCGGCAGTGCGTGCATCCATTCCGGCTGTAGAGTTGAGTGAGGCGAGTCGACGACGGCAGCTTTCCCGCGAGTGGGCGTGGTTTCAGCGCAGCCAGTGGACACGCCCCCAGCGTTTGAGAGCAAGATTACTGCTCATTTTTTCAAGATTTTGATAGCTTATTTTATGTACTTGCTGGCTTTTTTTATCATTCAAATTTGGCTGGGTGACTAATAACACATTTTTCTGTGGTGTGATAAACTCAAAACACATACTTAATTTTGACTTTACAGGGACTTTAAGTTGAGTGAACTTAAAATTGTAAGTTAACTTAATCCCTTTAATTGCTTGAATAAGTTGATACAATATTTAATCTTAAGTTAGGACAACAAAATCACTTGTTGTAAAAACTCACATTTTTAGTTTCAATTAACTCAAAATTTTAAGGCAACCAGGTAACTTACTTTTTTTAGTCAAACTAACAAATCATTTTTTACAGAAATTAATATTTTTAGAAACAATCTGTCGCAAGATTAATTATGCTCATACTGTGTCTTTGTGCTTGTGAAGGCACTGATGTCAGCATTGTGATTGTGTTGTATTTGATTAATTAAAAAAAAACTCATTTTAGCATTTACTAATACAATTGTTTTTTATGACATTTTGTTTAAAATAATTTCCAGCAGAGACTCACCAAATATTTCAATTTACTCAATATTATGATTTAAAGTTTCAATTCTGTATATGACAGTGTTTTAAAGGATGTTGGGTTATATTGTAGTTTAGAAAAATGTGAAAAGGCCATTTTGCACAGCATTTATAGCGGCTGTATGAACAAATAAGATATATTTATAAAAAATATTAATAATTGTACAAACAAAGTTGCTTCACTCTCAAATACACTATCAGTTTGTGATTGTTTTGAAACTCGCCCCCACCCTGAGTTTCCTTTTCAGTGATTATTCAGCGACTTTCTGTTTCCATACTTCAGAAAAGCTGTGAGCATGACAGGCTATAAACATGACGTAGGGCACAAACATCTGGGTGTGTTCAGGGCTTTAATAAACATGCACGAGAATTACGTCATAGTGGAATTTTGTAGATTGAACCAACTTCAAATAATGTACAGTATGGCCAGATCTTTGTTCCTTAATGCTTTTATTGTTATTTAGCATTTGTGTAATATGCATTAGCTTAAATATGCAATTACATGATGTAATTTCCTTGATCAAATAATGCTCATGTTGACTTCATTTGTTGCCACAAAGTGTTGTCAAGTGCAGTCCAGTTTACTTGTGGATATTCAACATCACGAAAATGTGTTTCGTTGACAGCTACTTACACAACCTTCATTTTCCATTCTGCTCATGATGAGTGAATCATTGGAAAGATATGGTATTTCCCATTGTCACGTGACGAGGGAAACCCAGGTAAGCCGACACATAACATATAAAGCAACCACGCCCAGTCCCATTTGTGCACAACAGCGTGCCAAACTGTTTTGAACACTTTCCATTTATCATTTGTCTTATAATTGTTATGTTTGGTTTCTGGAGACATGTCAACTGTTTACTTAAGAGTACTCAAGATGACTTCTAATCATTTAAAATAAAGAAAAGGAAATATTAATATGGGCTAAATATCAGGATATTTCTTATTTGAATTCACCCCCTCAACTTTTGATTTTATTTTTTCTTTGAAGAAGGAGGGTTCCATTCTTGGAAAACCTGGATAGGTCGCCTACCCTAATTGTAAAAGTGTGCTTTTAGACCTGGAAAAGTTCTATAAAATAATAAAATCTTAAAACTCCACAGACAACTATAGCCTACATTTTTCTAGCTGTGCCAAGCTTTAAAATATATATATATATATATTTTTTTTAAATCCTTATCTAGTGAACCACAAACTTATTGGGGATGGGGGAATGATGATGTGGACAAATTATGAGAAGGAGTCGATAAAAAATGAAACTCTGATTGGGAATGATTTAGAGCATTTATTATTTTACTTACGATGCAGAATACAATGAAATATAATTAATAACTACAAAATATACAGTTATAAAATGCAGATAAACACTCTGGAATTACATGAGTTCTTAAGACATAGTGACGTTTATATCACACAATCAAAGTTACATCGTCAAGTATAGGTGATGTCATATTTACAGCATTTAAATAATTTAATACATAACGACAACGGGACTGTTTGTGAGTTTTTGCACACATTCTAACCGATTAACCTCCTCGGAGACGGAGAGTCATGTGAATAGTGCTTTCAGATGTGATGTCGTAGTCTTGCAACTTCATGCCAGCCTCCAGTTGTCTGCCGTTGTAAATCAGTCTCTGCTGATCCTTGGGGACACTCTCTTTGCGGACGATCTTAGTCTGGAGCTGATCTACGGTCTCATTGGCATCAACATCATAGGTTTTGGTCTGGCCCTTCTCGTTCCTGACAAACACTTGGAAAGGTCCAGGGTTGGTGATGAGCAGCATCACCACTGAGCCTGAGTGCAACCCGTAACTGCTGAGGCTTCTGGAATCATCATCAAGGTTGATACGGTGACCGTTGTCGATAGAAAGCTTCTGTTTGTGACGAGGTTCACTGAAGTGTTGAGAAATGAGCTGCTTGAGTTCACCAACTGTGGCATCACCGCTCACCACCAGCCGCTTCACATCTCCGTTCAACAGTTTCACTGTCAGTTCCATTGTCTGTCACGAAGAGATTAATATAAAAGCATTAGAAGTACAACATCATATACTTAAAAAAAAAGAAAAAAGAAGTAGATTAGCGTTAAAATTAAAGTGCAATATTTGTATAGGCAATATAATGCGACTTACCGAGCTGGGTTGTGCAAATAGGCTGCTACGGCTTTCGCTGAATTGTTTTCTTGAATAAGACTTGTAAGTCACAACGATATCAAATGTGTCTCTGGTCACACTGACCCGAGACAAGAATATTTATAAAGCGTCAACTCATGCCCCGCCTTGTTTCGTTTCCGAAAACTTACTCAGTCACTTTCTGTTTCCATTCCTATTTCATCGCTGACGTAGGCTATATAAATCATTGATCAACACGATGTTCACTGCCAATAAACAACAGGCTATAGGCCTATAAAACACATTATTCTGTTTTTAAAAAATAACGATTAGGCTAAAAAAAAAATCGCGCTTGCTTTAGCCTATCCAACATTTTGGATCCTAGAAGAACTTTCAGGAAAGATGTTATAAAAATAAAACCTAGAGAACGTTCTGTGTAGGCCTATGCTATAGGTTTTATTATTTTATTTATTTATTTTTATTATTATTTATTTAATAAGGGACAATGCACGTTAATGAACATAAGGACAATGTCCAAATGTAAATGAACCAGATTTAGCCGTACAGACTCATTTTCATCTGGAGTCGCTGGCAGGTTCGTTTTAGGTTATTACAAATACGTATGCAACCTCAGCATTTAGACCTAGGCTAGCCTATTATGGAAACGGTAGGGAACGTTCTGTAGCATAGGCTATAGGCTATTTGCTGCATGGGTATTTGTATGTGATCTACATTAACAAGTGCATAGTTTATTAACATAGATGTTTCATAGAAATAAAATATATATATTTTTTAAAATCAACATAAAAACAGTCGTCTACTTGATTTTCATTTAGACAACAGGAAAACACAACATTGCTGTGTAACCCTTATTTATTGATGCCGTATCGGCGATTACTCCAGTCTCTTCATCGTGGGTAAATAGCTAAAACACGGGTTACAATGGTGATAATTCACGTTTCTTCTTTAATCAGAACTGAAGCATCGCCAACGCATACTGGATCCGCTAACTCGCAAACAACTCACATCTCTTCTCTCCTCCCCCCCCCAGCGCGCTATGCCTTAAAGGGGCAGGAGCACAAAATAACCTCTTCACAAATATATATAAAACTTTGTATAAGACAAATAAAAAATGTATTGTTTAACATCTGTTTCTTTTTCCCCAAATAAAATAATTAATTTACAAATAGTGATTTTTTTTTAAAATGAACTAGAAAATGTAAGCATTCCGCATGATCACGTGATTGGGGGAAATCCAGGTAAGGTGAGCACATCATACAGCATGCGAAACACCTGTGGTGCCGTGCACAATATAGGCCCACCTAAGAATTGAAGTTGTACTTAAAAACAATTTCCAGTCTGTAAATAAGAAAGCAATAAAAACATCTAGAATTTGTACCATGTTTAATATTCTTTCATAATATGCTTTTCTTTTTTTCTTTTCTTTCTCTTGGCAAATAATTTGCCATCTGACCAATCAGAGCAGAGTAGGCTTTCTGAAAGGAGGGGTTGAGAAAGATTGAATCTTTTATTGAACCGTTTCAGAAAAAAGTTTTTGACCTTGAATGCATGTTAAACTATTGTAGCATAATAGGGGCACTTTAATTACAACACAACAATGTGTTTTAGGCAGAGCCGATCCTGACCTCCCTGGGGCCCTAAGCAAAATTCTGTTATGGGACCCTCCTACCTGACCCACGAGCCATGTAAACCATTTGCCATTGCCACACAGTCACACCTGACACCCCAGTGCTCCCACTACAATCCTCCCTCCTTTAACTAGTACTAATGAAAATGTAATTCATTAGTTTTGAATTATTATTTCTGATATCAGAAATAGACATTGTTACTAGAAAAAGTACATTCTTAATATCAATAATTCACATTTTAAATAGTATCAATTTAATTATTGATATCAAAAATGCATCCCGTGAATGAATAAAAGCTCATATGGCTTGCCATAGCATGTATGTGCGCCTATAATGAGGAGTGCCATCACGCCCATATTACTGGTCCCCAGATGTTTTGCTGGAAAGGGCACGTTTCATTTCATGCACGCGCATTTGAACGCATGTTAACGCGCGACGCGGTTATCTTTTCCGAGCTGCAGTTTATAAACAAACACCGTTGCCCTTTGTCGTTTATCAAACGTAATAAATTGTTGTATTTCACTCTCACTTTTTTTGTCAGGCACAAAGTCACTAGCCTCGTGAGACCATCCTGATCTCGCGAGCTTTCAAGGTTTCACTCGCAGATCAGTCTGGATGCTTTCCGTTAAAGAAAATTTGGGAGCAGTTCACCAAACGAACGTCCAATCAGCTTTGGCTTTGAGGCGGGTTGAGGTGTGACGCAACGGGAAGCGCGACCGTTCAGTCTAAAGAACATGTCGGCTTCAGCGGATGAAACTAGCATCAGCGTGGCTATCTAGCAAGTTTTATCGGAATTACAGAGTATTTCTTCACTGAAAGAAGAGCAAAACACTGCTCTGGAGGCCTTTCTCAGAGGAAAAGATACGCTCTGTTAGTACGTCATATGCTTCGTTGATCTGATTGGTTGATTTGGCCCGTCTATCACCAACATAGGCCAATCAGCTAACCAGTATTTTCGCCCCTTACCAAAACTACTTCAACGGAAGGTTTCCAGATGGATATGCGGAGCAAATCCATCTGGCGGAGTCAGGTTACAAAGTCACAGAACAAAGCCCTGGAAATAGACGGCATTAGCAAGACAGACACAGAAAGACTAAAAGATGCACTGCCTAGCTGGGTTAGACAGACAGACAAGACAGACAGACTAGAGAGAGATGCACATCAACTCAACTTTACTGTTCTTTGCTGACATCAAACTTGGAGAGGAGAGAACACATGTCTACCTGATTGCTGTTCCCGCAATTGACTCTCATGGTGGTTTTTTTCTCTCTCTTTTCGTGACCAGAAGGATAGTTAATTTTCAACTTACTTCAAACTCCGCAAAGGACGGTCCTAAGCCCGGCTGAAAAAGGAGGAGGGTTGGGCATGGGGTTAGCAACCCCATCCCGTTAAAAACAAGTAAATGACAACAAGGGAACAAACGACAACTGGAGCCGGGAGCAAAGCAGACCAGGCAACTGGCATCATGACGGATAGAGACCAAAGCCACAAGGACGTCTCCGAAAGCGGATCCCCTGAAACCGAAAACATGGATAAGAGTTGGATGCTGGAACGTGCGAACGCTCTACCAAACTGGAAAGCTGGAGCAAGCAGTGTGCGAACTGAACCGCTACAACCTGACCCTTATGGGTGTGATAGAAGCAAGATGGACTGGTGCCGGCAAACAGAAGTTGAACACTGGAAAGGTCATCATCTGGACCGGAAGGAAGGACAATGTCCACCGGGAGGGAGTCGCCACCATTATCAGCAAGAACAAGGCAAAAACCATTCTACTGTGGAAACCCGTGAACTCCAAGTACGCCAAGCTATCTGTTGTTGTGGCCTATGCACCAATAGATGACACAGAGGAAAAGGACAAGGACACCTTCTACGATGCACTTCAAGCCGTTTTAGAAGACGTCCCTCGACATGATGTGCTGATGCTGCTTGGCGATTTCAACGCTAGGGTCGGCAGCGACAATAAAGACAGAGAGAGGACCATGGCGCAACCATGGAGTAGGGGTGATGACCGACAATGGAGAGAGACTGGCCAACCTCTGTGAAGAGAACGACTTTGTCATAGGAGGGACCCTGTTCGAGCACAAGGATATCCACAAACTCACATGGACGTCACCGGACGGCAAAACACACAATCAGATCGACCATATTATCATCAATGGTCGATGGAGACACTCCCTGCAGGACGTACGAGTGATGCGACACGCAGACATCGGCAGCGACCATAGTCTTTTGGTGGCCAAGGTGATTTTGAAGCTTAGGAAAGCTAGGATAGGGAACTCCAGGAATCAGCGCTTCGATGTGGCCAAGTTGAAAGACCTAAAAGTGAAGGAAGAGTTTAGCTTTGCCCTAAGGAATAGGTTTAGTGTTCTAGAAGACGAGACAGCGCTGACCATCGGAACTTTCAACAGAGCAATGAAGGACGCAGGAGAAGAAGTCCTAGGCTTGAGAAATAGTAAGAAGACAGAGTGGATATCAGAAGAGACGTGGAATCGCATAGAAGAGAGAAGGCAGATTAAGAAGAGATTGTTGGACTCCAAATAACCAAGACTGAAAGAGAGACTTTTTTAAAGGAGTATAGAGGAAAAGATAAGGAGATGAAGACATTGGCAAGGAGAGATAGGAGAGAATACATAGAGAGGCTGGCGGAGGAGGCGGAGACAGCGGCAGAGCAGAAATACATGAAGACGATGTACCGGAACATCAAGAAGCTGAAGGGCGATTACGGACAGCACCATGACCTTCCAGTGAGAGATGAAAATGGAACGTATGTTACAGTAAACGTCAGTTCTTCCTGGAATGAGAAGTACTGCCTGATTTCCCACGGTGTCTCGATTTTGTCATTTGGCCATCCTTTGCGCATGGTGTTGATAAGGATCTGTAGCGTTTTGTCCTCTTTGGTAGCAGAGCGGATGGCGTTTAGCCTGTCTGATGAGATTGGCAGGTGTTTAATCATATTGACAGTCTCTATGTCCGCTTCCACTGAGCCGTCGGCTGAATGTTCCGGTAGGTATGCTCGGCTCAAGGTGTCTGCCAGTAGCATGTCTTTACCTGGTACATACACTACCTCCAAGTCGTACTTCTGTACACGTAGCATCATTCATTGCAGTCGTTTGGGTGCACTGAGTAGCGGTTTCCTCACTATAACCTCTAAGGGTTTATGGTCACTTTGCACCGTCACTTTACGACCATAGGTGTATTGGTGGAACTTTTCTATGCTGAATACTAGAGCTAGAAACTCTTTTTCTATTTGTGCATACCCACGTTCTGTTTGTGTTAATGCTCTGCTTGCAAATGCAATAGGCTTACCCCTCTGCATGAGTGCTGCACCTAATCCTGTATCTGAGGCATCACACTGCACAGTCAGTTCATCATCTGGGCTGTAAAACTTCAGAACTGGAGCCTGTGCAATAGTGTCTTTAAGTTTGTGGAATGCCTCCT